AATGAGTGGCTTACTGACCTCCGGTGTCCTCTCCCTTCGAAAAAATTGATCGGACTCGCGACATGTTTTTTTGTCCCTCTCAATGCCTTCGTAGCCGCAGTTCTTTGTTTCTCTGCGCTCTGGCCTTTCGCAGCAGGACCCCCACCAGAAGTTTTAGTTGTCACGTAACCGTTGTTTACGTTTTTTATTTTGTCTTTTCGCAATCCTGTGTCTCACCCTGCAAGTCTTGTTCCTTACAGGTGTGACAAGCCCTTACACCCTTCAAGGTTATTGGAGCCCATTTGTTTTCCTGAAAAAAACATATTTGTTTATGTACTAAGGTAGTAGAAAGTGCTTTACACCACCCTATTTTGAAAGCTGAGCTCCGGCTACTTTTTTTCGTTTATTTGGAATAATGTTAATGGAATTCGATGATTTCAGGCTTGCGAAGCAATAGGTGGTGGTTGCAACAACAGAGGAGTATCACGCAAGGAAGTCAATCCGGCTGTAGAGATACGTGAGGCGCCTGGAAAAGGAATGGGAGCGTTTGCAGTTCGAGACATCCCTAAGGTGATGATATCTACAGTCTTACAGAAAATTAGTTTTCTTTTTTATTGACATGTTTTCAGGGTGCGTTCATAGCTGAATACGCTGGAGAATTGATAAGCCACAAGGAGAAGAACAGACGAATCGCGGAAGTTACGGCTCATCGAAATGCGGAAGAGAAGCACTACATGATGGCATTGGATTCGCAGAGGATCATCGATTGTAAAGAGAAAGGCAATGATGCGAGGTAAGGGTGTATCGTGTCAGTTGACGATTCTACCACACGTACAATTTTTGGCTTTGCTGACCCTTCTTCGGAAGCCGGACCTGCAGCCGGATCTAGATCGAAATTTCTAGGGTGGGTAAACTTGACTGAAATTTCATCTGCATGTGGGGTGGGCTTTTTAACTCCCCACAAAAGAACGCTTGCCTTCTCGTCCGCTTGGCTCAGAACCGCGTCTCTAACAGGTGCCTTCGCCAATCAACCTCGAAACACGAAATCTGTTGAAAAATTGTCCCTGAGGGTGTTAGGACCTGCAGAACCCGGGTATCCTCACGCACATAACAGAGCTCTCACTCCGAGCTACCCGGAACCCGGGTAGCTCTGAGTGAGAGCTCTGGTATGTGCACTAGCTCCAGAACTATCTGCTCGTCGTGCACGTTCGTTTTGAATGAATGTATTATCCGTGTTGAGAGGTCTGATCCAGGGGGCCAAGTTTTGGACAAACCCTACCTCAGAAGGAAAATTTCGTTCAGAATCCGGCCTGAGATTTGAAGAGTGTGGCAGTAAAGGGTAAATAGTGCCCAGATTGCCGTACACTTGTATGCTTGTGTTGATGTATTTCTTTTCCGATTTTTGAACCATTCGTGTAGTCCTAACTGCAAAGTTGAGACGGTATATGTGGTGGTTAGCAGGCTAAAGCGACCCAATGGTTTCGTTGTCAAGGTACGTTTTGATAGGTCTTATTAGTGCTGTTACCGTGTCAATATTTGATTTTCAGTATGACAAGCGCATAATGATCTACACTACCGAGGATGTTCCTGCAGGTAAGTCGCACTTCTTTTTTGCCTTAAATTATTTCTATTATTGTCACGTATTGCCATTGATTATATGTTTGTATCTAATGTTGCGAATAACACAGGCTGGCTCTCAATATGTTCACTGCAACATAAAAGTTCTTGATTAAGAAAGATCCAAAATTTCGGTGTCTGGCGTCTATGTAAAGGCAAGTAGCAATATAAGTCCCCAAGACATGCAGGATTAATACGCCCAGCGAGCAGAATTCGGCGCCTCTAAGCAGGCGCTGCGTGCGCCTTTTCCAAGAAGCCCCACCTTTGACCTTATAGCGCCCAGATGACCACAAATTCCCGAGCAATGCTCTTGCTCGTATCGCCTCTTTTGTGAAGTACATATGAAGCGAAGGGACGGACGGTTAGGCGTGTCAGCCAGTATGAGGTCATGCCGTGAAAGCCGTTCTCTGCCTTCTTGTTGAAACGCGCATGCGACAAAAAGTGGTAGAAAACGAGTAATACGAAGGATATGATACAGTATTGTCACTTGCCCGCTTCAACAACTGGTGGAGAACGAGTTTGGCACCGCGCCAAACGCAGCCGCACTGACACGCCCAACCGTCCGCAGCGAACTACACTATACATATGAAGCGAAGGGACTGATATGAAGCGGCTGCGGTGCTGCATGGATATATGAGTAACAAAGGCAGCCGTATCTACCGTAGAGGTCGCCACGATGCCAACCTGTAACTCGTCCAAAATTGCTTTCTGAGTCGTGTAGAACAATGGCTTTTTCGCAGGCTTTTGATCGTTTCACTTCGCTTGTTTTCGCCATTATCCCACTATACACCCCTGCTACCGTTTTAGACCGAGAACCAAATTATCGTGTCTTATGCCGTTTACCGATCTGAAGTACGTCTAACAATGGGTAATTTGAGAATTCGTTGAATTAGGGTCTCACCTGAGTTCTTACCCTCACGAGCAGCTGTACCGTAATGGCAGGCTGACCCAAGTGAGAGACTAACTCCACGTGTTTTCCACTTACTGTATGTCGGACGTCAGGTCGCTTAGGAATCTGCTAGAAACCGAGAGGGGTTCGAAAACGTGTCAGGGACTTGTACCAATTTGTATGCTTTTTATGGTCGTATTATATGGGTTCGAGTCCCGCCTGGGGTCTAACTTTTGCCCATAACTCAGCATTCTTATGGTACCAAGGATTTTTGTGTTTCATATGAGAGTGTCGAGTTCTTGTCCAATAAGCATTTTGGGACCTGTTTGTGTTATTTTCATATAGATGCTGATGGTGCTCCGGGGCAGAGCAATATCAAGACTTCTTATCTGTTTTAACTAGTTTTTGTGCTGTTTTAATCATTCAAGCATTGTTTTAGTATTCTCTTCTCATTTGCTCTTCAGTGTATAATTTTCTTCAGGTACTGAGTTGTGCTTCAATTATCAAATGATCCAGTACAACCTCGGGTGTCCCTTACCCGATTGCAAATGTGGCGCACCAAATTGCACAGGAACTCTGGGTGCGACAACCAACGCATCAGGTTTGCGTTCGCTGAAATGATTGCGAATGACTGAAATGATTTTTTTATAATCTTTTTATTTCTA